GACACACTGAGCACGCGCGACTGCCCAAGATCCAACAGGCTGGGGGACTGTAGGAAGAGGATTACATCGGGACCCAATCCTGTGGATGGCACGCCTCTTTCTCTTCCTCTTTTTCCTGTTCTCACATGCACACACATAGGCTTCATCATGAGTAAAGAAAAAAAAAGAAGTTGAAGGAGACAAGAAAGAGAGCAGCAAAGGGCAAGAGCAGAGAATCTGGGGAAGTACTCTTAACGCACAAGATGGTAGAGCAGTCCATAATTATGAAAAAGCCACAGGGCTTCGTGTCTGGGAAGTCATTGGTGGCCTTGGAGAGCCCTGACATGGAATGGTCCACCGTTGAGCTGTACATTTGTGAATGAAAAGCCTTTGAATAAGTATATAATTTATGCAAAAGCTGAACTCCATATGGTGCGCTCAGCCCCTCGGGAATGGAATTACCGAAGTTACTACCTGATATAAGGGGGAAAAGCCATGCGATTAAAGTAGATTAGGGTATTTGCATCCACGTGTGAAGATGCAGGAGCCGGGACTGCAACATTCCAGCTGAGAACCACAAGTCATATTACAGATGCTAGCCTCAAAAATGCTCAGCTAGATGCTCCATGAAAAACGAGACGCCTGTTTTCCCCACCAAGTATCAATTCCATGCACTCTGAGGCCGGTAACCTCAGAGTTAATACTTCTAGTCTAACATGCTTCCTGAGTAACACCATTCCCCTCATAAAACCGCTCTGGGAGAAGTGTTTCAGAGTCAGAGGCCTGCATTTCCTTTTCTTTCAAAGGCAAGATACTAAATACACCGTTTAAGGAAAGTCTCTGAGGCCACTGCAGAGGTCTGGTGTTGCTGTTGTCCCTCTGCTAGTTGCAACCACTGTTTTTCATGACCTGCAGGTTTGTTTATTTTTTAAAGAGGTTTTAATTTTATTTATTATTATCCTTTAATTTGCTAAAGGGCACATGTTCTCACCAGAAGGAGAGTGAGTGAGTGAGTCAGGGACTGGAGCCACGGTTGGCCACATGGGAGTCCAGCACCTTAATCACCATGCCATCTGCTGACCCCATGCATGCCAGTTTACTGGTAATGCATGGGTACTGGGAGGTCCGCCCCGGCAGTGCCCGGAAGCTAGACGGTGCTGGGGGACTGTAGGAAGAGGATTACATCGGGACCCAATCCTGTGGATGGCACGCCTCTTTCTCTTCCTCTTTTTCCTGTTCTCACATGCACACACATAGGCTTCATCATGAGTAAAGAAAAAAAAAGAAGTTGAAGGAGACAAGAAAGAGAGCAGCAAAGGGCAAGAGCAGAGAATCTGGGGAAGTACTCTTAACGCACAAGATGGTAGAGCAGTCCATAATTATGAAAAAGCCACAGGGCTTCGTGTGACATCAGGGCAGGGCAGGGCTGCAGTAACTGACTCCTGTGAGTATTTATCCTCAAATTCCTTCAAGAGCAGCACTCAGAGTACAAACACGTGGGAGGATGGAGCTCCTCTCCACTCACAGTGCAGCTTGGTTTAGTCTGTAGCAACTGAGCCCTGCTCTGTTCTCCATCTCTGTTTGCACCCCAAGTATTGCTTCTGGGCTTCCGACAGGGCTCCCAGCACTTCCTGTCCTTTCATAGTTATGTAGCCACACTCATCTCAACTGGAGAATTAATTTCAACCTCTAGAGCCAGAAGGTGAGGCCAAATGAATTCCACATCTTTTAGTTTCTGGAATCTGTGCATCAGGGCCAAGTCATAAACTGCAGGCACAGTCACACCTAGCTGGTTTCCAAACACATTCGAGTTCTCGTTTCGGAGCAGTCTTCGCGGAAACGTAAAAGCCTTTCTGATGGTGATTACCTGGAGTTCCCTCCATTGGGGACAATGGTTGATTTTTCTCACACCAACAAAACTGGTGCCTAAGGTAGGCTGTGGGAGTGGTTGGTGACACACGTGAGACACCCTGCAAGGCTGTCGCACACGGCAAGGTTCCTGGCTGGAGACATCCCGGAGGTACACAGTGCCCACGTTCGGGGCTGGCTGAGGCTGGGGGATCATGGCATCAAGGCCCTGCTGGGGGTGTTGTCTCTTTGTCTCTCTTTCTTGCTCACAGAAGAAAGAAAGAAACAGGCTTTTAAAGAAATAAAACAAAGGGGGAGCTGGGGTAACTCAGAAAATGGTCTCCTCTGCAAGTAAAAACAGAAACTCTTTACTGAAAACCCACAGTAAAAGCTCGCGGGCTCCCAGGCCATGTCCATATGGTTCCTATTTGATCCCCTCAGTCTTCAGGGCTGGTCCTTATGTAGGTACATCTGCGTAAGATTAAGACAGGTGTCCATCCCAGCATAAATAAGGTTTTCAGAGGCAATTCTGGGCGCCCGTGTGGGAATGACTCTACATAACAGACACAGCACTGAGCACCATGGAACGCCGTCGGGAGGCTAGACATAACAGAAAATAAAGAAATCCAGGGGGCAAAGACTCTCATGAATGTCACCAGGGAAGAGAATAACAGAGTCGTAAAAGGCAAAGGGTATGGTAATATTTAGTCGACGCTTCATGACTGGCAGGACTCGATCTGTCTTCACATGGCTCTGGTTTACATTTATAGTGTAGCGGGCTAAAAATAAACCTCAAAATCCTGTGTTTTTTCAAGTAGCAACACAGCCTTCACTTCGAATCACGTATCACTTCTAACATAAAGAAGCGGCAGTGGAGGACACAAGAGGCCTTGTCCTCCAAAAGCGAAGGCTCTGGCCCCACATGTCATCACCCATATTCCAGGCTAGAATTACACAGAAATGCCCCCAGCACTTTCGGAAGGCTCTCCTGCCTCTTTCTTGGTCTTGAACTCTCCTACTTGTGTGGACTCCCAAAGACGTGTCTATCCTAACCCCAGGAACCTGGGGCTATGCCGGATGACACGGGTGGGAGAGGAAGGTTGCCACAGCTGGCCTTACAATAGGGAGCGTTTTTCTAGACTGTCAGATGGGCCCAGTGTAATTGCAAGTCCTTAAGAGCAGATGAGGGGCTTTAGAGAGATGATGTTGGAAGCCAGCTCAGAGAGATGCTATACTGAGTTTGAAGACACAGGAAGGGAACCGCAAACGAGAAAGGCAGTTGACCTCTAGAAGCTGGGCGTGGGGTGGGTTCTCTCTACAGCCACTAGATGAGAATGGAGCCCTGCCAACTGCTCCCTGTTTTCGACTAGTGAGACTCGTGTCAGTCTACAGACCCCAGAATTGCAAGATGGGAAATCTGTGTTGTTTGAAGATACTGCATTTGCCATAATTTGTTATAGCAGCAATGAGAAACAAATACATGCTGTCAGGAAGCAGAAACAGACTTGTTCAGGATCAATTCTGCACTCCAGGCCAGAACAGGGCCTTGAGTTTCTTTGAGAATAAAACCTATTAGGTTTTTTCTTTCTGTTTAAACTTCAATATCCAGCCAAATAATAACTCAGAGAAAAGATGATTTTTAAAAATAGAACAGCATCTTCTTTTTCTTTTCTTTCTTTTTTCTTGAAAGATATTTTTGCTTTAGTGAGTATGTGCTCACCAGAGAGAGAGAGAGACAGAGAAATAGAAAATAAGAAATAACTCCCCATGAGGGATGGCCACACTGCAATCCCTTCTTTTCTACTCTCCTCTCGTGGTTTTGGGCATGCACACACACATGCCCAACTGAGTTTCAAGCCACTGGATCTGGGACTCGAACTGTTGTTAGCACTTCAACCATCATGCTACCTGCTGGCCCCACATCTTCTAAATTTATGTGTGTGTGCTGGGGTTGGGGGTGTATACTAAGAAGCAAATCTTTTAACCTCTTGTTTTGACTTTGGAAGAATGTAAGACTGTTGTTATGTTGTTAGAGGCTAAATGAAGCCCTTTCTAGTAGACCGACCTTAATGTGGTCTTAAAATCTACTTTTTCAGTTTCTTCCATTTCTTTCAAAAGATTCCTGTATACTTTGGATGCTTGGATAATCTGAGATGATTTCATTCTAGGAAATCTTAGCTCTCAAATCATGAAGTTTTCTGTACTATGTCCTCAACAAAGATTAGAGAAGATGTGATAATGTTTAATACAGGACAATAGAAAATAGTTCCTGAATTAGAAAGTAATTAAATTAGAATGCTATGACTTAGAATAGCTAATGTAAGAACATCCGTAGATTTTTCTATACAATTGTGCACTTTTTCGTTTGTACACTAATTTTTACCTTTTTTTAAAATACAATGTCTGGTTTATGTCTATATGATGTATAGCTTTGTGGAGTATAGTGTGGTTTGTGGTGTATAGTGTGGATTTCGAAAGTATGCGTAGAGGGCCAGGAGGCAGTATGGAGGTTAAGGTGCTGGATCCCACATGGCTGATTGTTGGTTCGAGTTCTGGACTTGGTGGCTTGAAAATCATCCTGGGCATATGTGCATGTGTGCTCAAAATCCCAAGAGGAGACTAGAGAGAGAAGGGATTGCATTGTGGTTATACCCCGTTGGGGGTGATTTCTCACTTTCCATCTCTCTCTCTTTCTCTCTTTGGTGAGTACACATGCTATAGTAAAAAACAAACAAACAAACAAAAAGCATGCATATAGCAAATAATAGGCTATCGAGGATACACACGTTTATCTTCTTCAACATTGAACATTATGTTGTGCACATCTGTGAACAGTTTTAATTGAGAGAAAACAAATGCAAGAGGAAGTTAAGGTATCATAGACCGAGACCCCTTTATGTGAACCCTGTCAGGATCGCCTTGGAGTAAGGCCACAACTAGACTCCACTCCTACTCACGAGTTAGGCTCTGTCTTGTCCTATCCTACATCCTTCCCCAAATGACCAAGCATTTTCACTTCCCTCTCAAGAAACAGACAATGCATCTCCAGAGGAGATGAGAGGTAAGGACCCCCAGACCCTGATGGTGGGGTGTGGCTACCTCAGGAGTAGGAGCAGGAAAAAGAGATGATGTGGCCCATCAGATACAATGAGAAAGAGAACAGGAACACTTACCCTCAGGTCTCCGTTCACAGCTTTGGGTGTGTGGTTAAATGCATGCGCCGGGTCCTTGTTGTACACTTTGAGGAGCGATCTGTCCTGAATGTTCCTGGAATCAAAAACATCCATGATTATGGCAGACGAAAGGAGCCTCACTTTGGCCATTTGCTTTGCCAGCCCTTAAAGACCAGGTAAGAGACATCAACGGGCAACCCGGCACGTGTCCACAATAAACCAGACAAAAAAGCCTTTCTCCATAAAACAGGCAAACATAAATGAGGGAAAGAAGAAGAAAAACGGCTTCAGCTTTTTCTTTTCTTGTTCCCCAGGAGAGTATTATTCTTTCCGCGTAGCTCTCCACCCATAAATATCAAGTAGCATGAACTTGCTTTCAAGATTGTGAGCATGGAAAGTGAACACTTTGAAAAAACAATAAAGCGCCAATATTTACAGTATGTTCAAAGAGATTTGGTTAATATTTAAATATTTAATGGTTGTTGCCCAGACACCTGGTTTCCTGCTTATCTGATGCATACAGACAAAAGAAAACGGCCCTTATTTATTTTTTTTTTTTAACCCTTCAAACATTTTCACATAGGGAAAGAAAATGTATTTGTTATCCAGAAAAAAAAAATCAAGTATCATGATCAAAAATAGTATCTTTATACTGCCTCTGGTTCTTTCACAGTGTGTTTTCAAAAAATACTGCTCTATGTACAAATCAAATTGCTAGATGTGAAGGAAGAGGTGCAAATAAAGTCTTCTCTTCTTCTGAACTTAGCTCTTAAAGACAAGGGGTCATACCACAGCAAAAGACAGAGGTCCCACACCTTGCTCAAAGCCTACCTGAAAATTACTGAAGAACACATAAAGGTCTACAAGGTCCTTCTCCCTCCAAATTCAGCTTTCATCAACAGAAAGGCCACCCAAAGCCCTTTCTGCTCTGTCTATACTGCGATCCCTTCTGATGCCGGCTCCGGGAGCTTGGAGAAATGTATGCAGGAGGAGGGATTTCTTTCCTCCAGGTGTGGCCACACGTTTAGTGGGCTGATCGCAATCGCTGGGATTATTAGGTTATATTTTTGTTTTAAATGAAGTGGAGGATTCTGGGACGAGTTTTACTTCTCTCCTTTAAACATGTGCCCTAGTAACTGCTTTGAAGCAACGACTAGCCCAAGCTTGCAGGCTTGCTCCAGATTTCAAGGAGCTCATATTAAGTCTGCCCGACAGGGAGCACACAGCCCTTGTTATTAAAAGGGTCTACGTTAATAGCAAGGAGAGTCATCGAGGTGAGCATGCGAGCATTTACCAAAGAACTTATTCTGCGGCTACAGGATAAACTCACATACGTCCATGTAAAGAAACTGAACCTCTCACTTAGCCACGGAAAATCTTACCAGGATTCTAAACGTATTTAAAGTACAGGAGGTTGGTTTATGATGAGTTTAGAAACATGCTCATCTGAGAGTAAGCAAGATAAATGCCCAGATTGCATTCATGTGGCCACATTTACAAGACAATGCTCTGACCCGAACTCTCTGGAGCACTTCCCTAAGGGACAAACCAGCAACCCAACACAATAATGAAACAGCGGATGTTTAGCAAATATACTGTCACTTCAAAGAGCCTGAAAGATAAGAGATGAACTTTATCTCTGTGTTTAGAAGATGAGAGCCATTGTCTTCAGTTAGACCCTGCATGATCATTTTTGTTTTGCTTTGTTTTACATGAATGCTGGTGGAGACATTTTCTTCTACCTTTCAAATAAAATATAACAGAGGTATCTCAAGCATAATTACACATTAGTAATTCTTTGGAAAAAACATGTGTGCAACCATTTAGCATAAACACATTCATCACCAATGAAAGATATTTTCTCCGCTTGGGTCTATTTTATGTATTTATATCAAAGAAACTGAAAGGTAAAATTACGGACAAATCTGTAAGTTTAACTTTTTACTTAAACATTTTATTGAGGGGCCAGCAGAAGGCATGGTGGTTAAGGTGCTGAACTTTCCGTATGACCAACCACGGTTTGTGTCACCAATCTAGTGGCTTTCCCCCTTTCTATTTCTCTTCCTCTCTTTGTCTCTTTCTGGTGAATGTGTACACCCTGTAGCAAATTTAAAAATAATAATTATAAATAAAATTAAATATTCTAAAAATTTTATTAAGTTTTTAAAAAAATATCAGGCTATCAGTACTATAGTTTAAGTATCAACAAGATCATCATTTTTGCAAACATGAATATAATACCTAGGAATTACTAGCATTTAAAGTCAACGGTCTTGGGGAGCAGCACGGTGGTTAAGGCATTGAGCACTCCCACATGGCTGAACAGAGTTCAAATCCCAGATCTGGAGGCTTGCTTTCTCACTCCACTCCCCTCCCCCCAATCCCTCTGATCAAATTAAAATAAAATGAATCAATAAACAAAATTAAATAAAATAATTCTTTTTAAAAATTGACTATCTTTGGGCCAGCAGGTGGTGTTGTAGTCTAGGTGCGAGGCTCCCATGTGGTCGACCACAGTTTGAGTCCTGGACTTGGTGACTTGTTTTCTCACTTTCCCTCTCTCTGTCTCTCTCTGGTGAATGCACATGTCCTATAGCAAATCGAATAATGGTAATAATAAATAACTAATCTAAATAATTTTAAAATGCTTGCAATTGACCGTATTCTCTCATGTACTGCTCTCATCTATGTTGTCAACTATATTTCCATTAGGGAGTACCCGGACCTTTTCCTCTTTACCCTCCCTCTCATTTCTCTTTTGGTGACTACTTTGCAACATCCCCAAATAATGCAAAAGAAAGTCGAAGTTGTCAAACTTGGAGGCTTGAGAAAGGTTCTGGAAAATGGTGACTTCTTGTACAGCTTGAGCATCCCCAATCTGAAAATTCAAAATCTGAAATGCTCCGAAGGGGACTGACATGACACGTCCAGGTTCTTTCCATGGGCATATGCCTTTTTCCTGGAGCAAAGGGTGAGTTCCTCTAGCGAGTCCTCACACCCTTACCTCAGGGATGGTCCTGCTCCTCGTGAGGGCTGACAGGATGTTGCATGTGGAAAACGCTAGACCTGACCTCAGATGAGGGGCTGAAATCACTGTGCAGGTGCACTATACGTAGGGCATTCGGTATGTCTGAAAGAAAAAAGGCCTTCCCAGCCCTGTGCTGTGAAAATGTTCTCTGCACACACTCAGATTCCTCCTCACAAGCACACCCACGAACAGTTTTATAAGCAAAATTATTATTATTTTGTTATAGAATGCATATGGCTTTGTCAGAAAGAGATAGAAAGTGAGAAACCTCCCCCTATGGGGTATGATAATGCCATAATCCCTTCTCTATGTCTCCCTTCTTTTGGGGTTTTGGGGATTCACGCGCACACACACCTGTGCATTTCTCAAGCCACCTGGTTGGGACTCGAACTCAGTTGATGACCATGTGGGATATAGCTGCCTTAACCACCAGACCACGGAGCTGGCCCTATGCATGAAACTATTACTCTAGTCTATAAAATTGCCTTCAGGCTATATGCACAAGGCGTATATGAAACATAAATGCATTTCATGTTTAGATTTGGGTCTCATCCCTAAGGTACCTCATTACGTATATATGCAAATGATAAATCCAAGAACACCTAGAATCCAAAAGATTTCTGGTCCCAAGCATTTTGGCTAAGGAATACTCAATCTGCATATAAAAATCTTTGCCTCATCTACAACATGGGGAGGGGAGAGGCCAGTAGTTCACAAAAACCTTGTCTATCTGGAGCTCTTCAGTCAAGATTCATTTAACGTCCCACTTACTTATCCCTGTACCCCTCAATTCCTCTAATTGTGAACGGAGTTATGTGAGACATTTGTTGTAAAATGGCCTATCCAGGGCCTGGCAGGTGGCATGGTGGTTAAGGTGGTGGAATCTCGGAGTCCTGAACCTGGCAGCTTGAAAATCCTGCTAAGCCTGTATGAGTGCATGCCCCAAATTTGGAGACAAGAATGGAGGAGAAGGGATTGCTGCATGGCCAACTCCTGGGGCGGGGGTGGGAGGGTTGATTTTTCTTTCCCACTTGCTGTCTCTCTCTCTCTCTTTCTGGTGAGTGCATGTATCCTATGGCAAAAATCTTAAAAAAAAAAAAAAAGCTACCCTTGTAAACATCCTACATGGGATTACATGACTATAAATCCATTCTTATAATGTTTTTATTTTAAAATTTGCTTTATCAGGTTAAAAAAAAACGAGCGACAGCTTAATAATTTATTTAGAAAACAAACATGAATTTTCTGATATCCATGAATATTTAAACACTTTTTAAAAAAAGCAGGAAGGTTGCATAGTAGATGGAGCACCTACCCCTTAGGGCATGTGTCAAATTTTGAAAGCACTACATTACTCATACACCTTGGCACATGCCTAAATATGTCACCCGTGATCATTGTGAGATGTTTATCAGTTTACATTTATTATGTGCTAGAGACATATTTTTTAAAAGTAGTACTCATAAATTCTATGATGAAGCAGCAGGGCAGCTGCTATCCCCACAGAGCATGGGTGCAGAAATTCCATGTTCTGCCCCTAGTCATTTGGTGAGGAAATATTCAAAGGAATCAGAAGATCTTCACCAAGCTGGCAGTGTAGCCTAATGGTTAAGCCCTGTGCACAGGGAGCTGGATCCTACATGGCTGACTGCTGTCTGAATTCCAGTCCCAGTGGCTACAAGAGCATGCCAAGCAAAAACATGTATACGGATGCCCCAAATCCTGTTAGAATGGAGAAATGGAAGAAAAAGGATTGTGGCAGGATCATGCCTCACCAGGGGGTGCTTTGTCTTCCTCCCTGGTGAATGCACACAGCCTCTGGCAATTAAAAAAAAAAAGTGTTGACCAAAAGTGTGGACAGCTGGGCTCGGGGCTGAGCTTAGTACTTAATTGGCTATGGAAGTCCTTTATTTCATACATCTCAATTTCGGGTTCCATAAAATAAAAGGGCTGGACGAGTCACAAATCTTTTGAGTTCTAACATGTTTAGCGGTCATAGTAGCAGGTGCTTATTTTTAATTTAATTGATTTAAGTCATGTTTCTCAGATTGTTTGGCTGGGAGAGATTAATGGATCCCTTCTGCCCTGTCCACAACCTGCCACCGCCAGTCAAGATGCTTCAGTTTCCAGGTCTCTTGCAATACCAGGAGTTCACTTTGCCTAATTTTCTAGTAAATTCAACTGGGAAAGCCTACCTGGAAAGTGAGATGCTTGAGTAAAAGCCAACTATTTAAAAAAAATCAGTGGAGGGGGCCAGTAGGTGGCATGGTAGTTGAGTTGCTGGACTCTCATATGGTAGACTGTGGTTCCAGTCCCAGAACTGGCAGCTTGATTTCTCACTTTCTCTCTCACTTTCTCTCTTTCTCTCTCTCTCTTGTAGACATGCCCTATAGCTAATTAAAATAATAATAATAATAAATAAAACTAAATAATTCTTTAAAAAAGAATGGAAAGTGAGAATGGTTCTCAGTGTCTTTTCTTGAGGACAGTAACACAGAATACATTGCTTTCACTTTGACCTGCTGAGTGAAATTGACTACCCTAAAACAGCACGGACTCTTGACTATGGGGAAAGAGGAAGCGAGAGTGAATCTGGAGAGGGAATTCCAAAAGATCCAGTCCGACCTACTGCCTTCAGCGCTCAGGTCCTGTACCAAGCCTCCCCACCGCCTTTGTGGACCTTCATTTCCCTCACCCTGGTCTAACTGAGGCGCGGGATCACTTCTCATGCTCTTTTCTAACATTCGTAGGCCTCCGTGGGAGAACTCGGTCCTTATCTTTATGATCGCTCCTTGTAAATGAATTGTAGAAAGCCAGGGAGTGAATTCACATCGGGGTGAGGTAAGCCTGCCCATCAGGATAATGGCTGTGTGGTCTTCACCTGACCGCGGAGAACTTGGGACTCCATACAGACTCTGGGGAAGCAATATGGTGGACAAACAAAATCCTCTGCATGGATTATGGGGACAAAAAAAAAAAAGGCAAGGAAAGAATATGGTGAGCACGTGGATGATGTGATTACTCACCGTACGTCATTCAGTTCATAATAGACATTCCTG